CCCTCCCCTCCCCATTTCACGAGATCCCCATCCCCATCTCCGCCTCCACCTCCCCCGGCCAGGCCGCCGCCCCATGCTGCATTAGCGGCCGAGATCTGAGCGCGCGCGCGGGCAGGCAGGCAGGCAGGCAGGCAGGTGCTCCGCGGAATGGCCAGCCGCCCGCCGGCGCCAATGCCGGACACGCTCTCCGACGCCTTCGCCGCCGCCGTGCTCCTCTCCTCCAACGACAAGCCCGACACGCTCCCGCCGGGCCGCCTCTCGCCCGTCTCCCCGCTCCCTCACTCCTCCTCCAAGCACCACCACCACCACCACACCCCGAGCTCCTCCTCGGGCTCCTCCGGCTCCGTCTCCCGGGCGCCCGCCTTCGCCTCGCGCCGGAGCCACTCCGGGGAGATCCCGCTCCCCTCCGACGGGCCCCCGCGGGGCGCGCGCCCGGGCCACCGCCGCACCGGCTCCGGCCCCCTCATCTTCACCTCCGGCTCCACCTCCAGCTCCGCCACCTCGCCGCTCACCAACGCGCTCCCCGCGGGGAACATCTGCCCCACCGTCCGCCTCGCCAAGCCGCTGCCTTCCTTCTCCGCGGCCTCCACCCCGCCGCCCCCGGCCCCTCCCCGCGCCATCCGCCACGACGTGCTCGGCTCCGGCACCGGCAACTACGGCCACGGGAGCATCATGCGCTCGCGCAGCGGCGGCGTCGCCCCCGAGGAGGACGCCAACGTCAGGCGGGCCATGTCCAGCGCCGACCCGGAGGAGCTCAAGAGGGCCGGGAACGAGCAGTACAAGAAGGGCTACTTCGAGGAGGCGCTCAGGCTCTACGACCGCGCGCTCGCCCTCTGCCCGGACAATGCTGCATGCCGGGGCAACCGGGCCGCCGCGCTCACGGGGCTCCGCCGCTTCGGCGACGCCATCAAGGAGTGCGAGGAGGCCGTGCGGATCGATCCGTTGTACGGACGCGCGCACCAACGGCTCGCCTCGCTCCACATAAGGTGAAAGAATTGCTTGCTCTTAGATCTGCGGGGCTACCGCGAAATCATTATCCTTCTTGGCGCTCTCACTGTCGGTCGGCGAAAACAACTCAATTTTTTTTATACGTCACGTAAGATTATTTGCTCCGGCGATCTGAATAAATATGGTTTGCCCCCCCACACAGACCACAATGTAGCAGTAACACGAAAGCGAATTTGCTATTTTTAGTAGGGCTTACAAAACACACATGTGCATGCATGAAGTGTTTATTTCATTATTGGCTGGTAACGGAAGGCGATTTGTACAGTGGGCACACGTTTTCTCTAACTTTATTTCGGAAATGCTTTGACGAGTTGGCATCCATATATATGGAGACTGATTGATCTGAAATGGACACTGCTTTATGTGCCCCTGGATTTCCCTCCTTGGCATGAAAATATCTGCTCCTCCAGTTCCGCGAGAATCAGAAATAGCTGAATTTGGAAGAAAACGTAAATGGCAACGATGGGTACACGGATGTGCCCCTTTTTGCTATAGTTAGTAAATCGGTCAACACTAGTTACTACCTAGATTCATCACTGGTACCAGATTAAGTGAACCTTGAATTCTTCAGCTGTGCAAGTTATTCATCTGAAGGATCTTACTGAATTGCAGGTTGGGACACCTTGAGGATGCCCAGAGGCACCTTTCCCTGGCAACCCCACAGCCTGACCTCCTAGAGCTGCACAAATTACAAACAGTGGAAAAGCACCTGGGCAGATGCCTCGATTCGCGGAAGGTCGGGGACTGGAAGAATGTGCTTAGGGAATGTGATGCCGCCATTGCGGCTGGAGCTGACTCATCTGCTCTGGTATGACTCTGCCTGTTATCCAATCTGATATTGACTAGCGATTTCTTTAGCAGAGAGTATATACTTATGTGATTCACCTCTTGCAGCTCTTTGCCGCACGAGCAGAGGCTCTTCTCCGGCTCAATCAGCTCGATGAGGCTGATATGGCCATCTCCAGTGCTTCCAAATTGGATTATTCATCTTCCTGCATCTCAGACACTAAATTCTGTGGCTTCTTTGCCAATGCATATCTCTATTACGCACATGCCCAAGTTGACATCGCATTGGGAAGGTAATTCAGTGATTACTCATTATACTCGCACAAATAAGAGCATGTGAGTGTAGCTTGAAAAACAACTTTGTTCAAAGCGTTTTGTCTTGGCAGGTAAACTCATCGGTTGCCTGTTATAGCTCTGCCCTTACATGATTTGTTTTGCAGGTTCGATCATGCTGTCTCTTCAGCTGACAAGGCCCGAATAATAGACCCAAGAAATGTGGAAGTGATAACAATGCATACCAATGTGAAAGCTGTAGCAAGAGCACGATCTCTAGGGAACGAGCTATTTAAATCTGGAAAACTTTCAGAAGCTTGCATAGCTTATGGCGAAGGGCTCAAACATCACCCTGTAAATCCAGTCCTTCACTGCAACAGGGCAGCTTGCAGGTTCAAGCTAGGGCAGTGGGAGAAGTCTATTGAGGATTGTAATGAAGCCCTCATGATTCAACCCAACTATACCAAGGCTCTGCTGAGGCGTGCAGCTTCCTATGTCAAGGTAGCATATTGTTTATCTTTCTTGCCTTTTCTGATTTAGAATTGAAAAACTCAGAAATCGTTGCGCATTTGGTGTTTAGATGGAGCGATGGGCTGAATCATTGAAGGATTATGAGGTTCTCAGAAGGGAACTCCCAGGTGACACTGAGGTTGCTGAGGCCTATTTCCATGCTCAGGTTGCCCTCAAGTCGTCTCAGGGTGAGGAGGTATCTAACTTGAAGTTTGGAGGAGAGGTTGAAGCAGTTACAGGAATGGAACAATTCCAGATGGCTACTTCCTTGCCAGGTTTGTCTTATTCGCTGATGTCCTTCGTTTGAAAATGCCACTTCATGTCTTTTTTGGTCAGCACCATTTGCTAATTTGTTATAACCTTATAACACATACAGTTACTGAAAATAATGACAAACTATTATGTACTCACTCCGTCCCATAATATAAGACTGTTTTTTGCAAGGGAGTACTTAATGTAGAGTTCCTGAAATAATGAGACATTAAACACATTCCTTAAAATAAAGCATAAAACAGTAAGATTGTCATGTAAGCCTTGCATTTGATAATCGACACATTGATTCGGCCGTTCTTGAAAACAGTTAGTGGGTTATGGCAAATATTAGTGAAATGCGAAAATGGTGCCCCTTGATAAATCATGTTTCTTGTCTTTTTTGCTCGCTTTGAGGGTATTTCATGGACCTATTACAAAAGGAGTGGCAGTTGGCTTAGGTGCAGAGTAACCAAACAATGAACTGGAATCCTATTTTGCCAGGTTAACCTTGCCGCTGATTTTTTTTCCTTTGGGTGAAATGGAAGGCTTTTATTAACAACCTTGCCACATACGACAAACACATTATTTACTCTCTTCTATAGAAGTTGCTGCTTCTCAAGAATGAGCAATCCCGTTTGATCATTTTGATTAACCTTGCATCTTGGGAGTGTTTTGCTGCTTCTGCTTGTATCTTGCGCCTGCAGTTTATGATGTTGACTTGCAGACGAGCAGCATTTTACAGTACACTAGTACTGCAATCTTGACTTTTGTTGATAGGTATGAGGTTGTACCACGAGTTGGTAGTACTTATTACTGTTTAGTGCGTTGCAAGCAAACCTTCACGTGGCCTTTGTTTTGCTGGCACTGTACCATGGCTATTCTTTTGGAAGTCTGCACTTTTACCTTGCTCTCTCTATCTTGTAGCAGCGGTGAAAGTTGTTAGTTTTTATTTAATCTGATGCACTGTCATTTGATGGTTTTGCAGGTGTTTCGGTTGTCCATTTCATGACTCATTCGAATCAGCAGTGCTGCAAAATTTCCCCATTTGTCAATGCACTGTGTACCAAATACCCATCTGTTAATTTCCTCAAGGTAACTGATTGAGTCAAATGGTTGATCCTTGTCACCTTGCTTGCTATCTCTGGCCTATTCTTGACATATACTATTCTCTTATTTTACTTAGGTGGATGTAAATGAGAGCCCTGCCGTTGCGCGCGCAGAGAATGTGAGGACAGTTCCAACATTCAAAATCTACAAGAACGCCATAAGAGTGAAGGAGATGATCTGCCCCAGCCAACAGCTGCTGGAGTATTCAGTGAGGCATTACGGGACTTAGGCCAAGAAGCCGATGACTTCGACGTTTCTTCGCGCCTTGAGCTCCCCTCGAGCAAACCGTGGGCAGTGGGCTAAACCGGAGGGAGGTCCAGAGCAGAGCCAGTGAAGGTAATCTTTGATGATGAGGGCAGCGAAGCATGAAAGAAGACCAGAGAGAAGAGCAACTTCCTCTGATCTTTTTTCCATCCGAACCGCCCTTCCAAGTCGCATTTCGCCACCCTTTTCCCCCATTTGTTGATTACCAACTTGTTTTTATTCTTTTCATTTGTCCCGTGCGTACATCATTGTTGCCGAATTCCATCCTTTAGAAACCAAAAAACATTATCTTCCGACTATTGGAAGAGCGACTGTAAATTTTTTACTTTCATGTTTACCAGACCAGACAACCCAAGGAAAGAAAAAGTATAGATGCCATTTGTACTCTTGAAATTTGATAGTGTAATATGCAAGTCTTAAGCCTCCATATCTCGACATGATCAGTAGATCAAGTACATGCTATGTACTCCCTCTGTAATAAGAGCGTTTAGATCACTACAGAGGGAGCAGTATGGAAGAAATGTCCATTGTCCAAGCAGATGGGTCAACGATCGGTTTTGGCCAGCGTTGGGTTGGGGTAATTTAGGGCATCTCCAATACCGTGCATCAAAACAGGACGGACTTTGTGGACATCAGATAGTGGGGCGACCATCCAACTCAATGCACCAAAATTTCACCCTTTTCCCCTGAAAAAATAATAGAATAAAACTAAACCAAATGTCTGCCGCATGGGCCCACTTGCCGTGCGGGCTCACTTTGAATCATCGATCAATATCAATTCAACCATACATTTAAATCCTATAAAAGCGCCGGATGTTCAATAAGTTCTTAAATTCATTGATTTGAAATTCAACCATACTCCTTGAAAGCGGTCTTCATCTCAAGCTTTCTCTCCTCGAGCTTGACCATCTTCATCAACACATGTTGTTCCCCCAAATAATCTGCCCCTTGAGCTTCATCTAACAATGTGCTAATGTGAAGGCCCTGTCCTCCATCCTTTGGTATATCGCGGCAGCACGTCCAGGATATACAATGACGTGATCATCAAGTTGCAACATTGGGTGAATCAAAGAATTGACCAACACATAGAGCAACAAGAAGCGATCTCCATCACTGATGCGTCCGTTGGCCACATTCTTTCCACTTGTGCAATCGGATTGTAACACTTCATGAAGACGTTTGAAATGGTGTACCACCCATGGAGTAACGACTTCACACTGCAATCATGGATCATATCCAAATTGTAGTGCGCGTAGTGCCTGTGCTCATGAAACCAAGAATGCACATGCTACCAAAATATCGTGCCATTTTGCTTCACGCCTACAAACTCCGCACTTGTGGCCAACTATGCGTCGCACGAGAATGCACTCTCCCTCAGCGAGTCCCCTTGCCATCGTGCTTGCTTCATTTTAAACAAGGATAAAATAAAAAATATATTCTCAATGGCATTTGGTCGAACACTTCTGGGCGTGGTGTCCGCCATGGATGGTGTCGGTAGGGGGCAGACGAGTCGAGGGGTGCAACAACGGCGAAGTACAAAGCACCTGAGTGGAGCAACGGTGGTCCGACAAGAACTGGGCGGCGGCTGGAGTGGTGTAAAGGCGATGGCAGTCTTAGGCGAATACAAAGCAGGAAGGGAGGAACAGAGTGGGAAAAAAGGGTCCGAGAGGGGGTTTTGGGTGGGCCTTGTATGCCAGAGTCCAACATTACGGGCGTCCGGACTCCCCCAAACGTCGCATAAGTTTGTTTTCTGAGTTGGTGGAATTCGGACGTGCAGTCTGGTTCACAAACGTTTGATGCACGGCGTTGGACGACACAAAGTGTCCGAAACATGTTGCCTGAATGCTTGGCGGGGTAGGAGATACCCTTTACCTGTAGTAGGTCCCTGAAAAGTGAAGAGAGGCATTGCATGTTAGGTTAAACATGGCTCCAAATCTGGAGGAAACAATTATTGTGGCATGGCATATGGCCTCGCAGCTTGCCGTGCATTGGATCCCTCCCCTGTGTTGACCGTTTTGTTAGTTGTTTCGCTAGCGCCAGGTGGACCAGGTAATCCATCCACGAGGCCGACACGTTCACGCCTAGCCCCTGGCTCTGGCTGGCCGGTGTGTTGAGAGCCGTCGTTTTGGCATCTCCTCTCGGCCAGATCGGCACGCACTCCTCCTCCCTATCGCTGTCACCGGCGGCGCCAGGTCGTGTGCCCGTGATGCGTATGGGTATTTTGTTGGGCACCACCAGAAAGGAAAAGAATGTTGATTCTATATAAGTCAAGTTATTAACTGTCTAAAGAGTAAAGACGATGCCTCACAAACTTGCACTGCTCCTCAAGATGAGAAAAGCCCTTCGTCTGGTTGCTCAAAAAAAAAGAAGAAGAAGAGAAAAGCCCTTCGTCTAGGCGGGCGCCCATGCCTAGTTAGGAAGCAACTTCTACCACGGCTGACACATTATCTCCCGCAAAGACCAAGGACCCCTTCCGAAGAGAAGTTGACCGACGGGGATGTCTCAAGAAGAAATTCTAGAATTGTAGCCTCCCAAATCAATGTACCTGCAAGTTCCAAGCCCGGCCAGCTCCATGACGCTCGCCGATGACGGCACAAGGCGAAGTCGAGCCCCGTACGCGAGTAGATCGTAGTCTGTCTCCGAGGGGCGGTTAGGCCCGAAACCTCCTATCTATCGCATTCTGCCACAGAAAATGACGATGGTTCACAGAAGACGCCGAACTAACGGGCGACCCATTCGCATTGCCGAGCTGGTAGCAAACCCCCGCGACGGCCCAAAAAAATCCTGAAAAATGCTGGCCGCTAGCGTCGAATCGAATTCGCGACGTGTGACTCGCCAGTGCGTGTCCCAAGACACTGGAGCTGATGACAATCTATGATTAACTAGCAAACATGTCCATAAAGATAAAAATAGCACACGATGTTACCATTCGGACGTGATCAAATCGGAGGGGATGGGCTCCCGCTCCTGCATGTTGAGGATCTCGATGCTCGTCGCCATGTAAAGCATGTCAAACTCTTAGATAGCCGTTAAAGGGATGCACTAATGTTACCATGTGCTAACATACAACGGCAATTGGTATCTCATCAGATCATAACAAAATTTAACGAACAAACCACACATCACAACAAACATGGGGAGCCAATATGCATTAAAAATTCCTCAAATACTCATTTTTTTGCCTTTCTGTAGTAAAAGAAAAAGGGAAAACACATGATGGTAAGCAAATAAAATACTTACATGATTTAGAATTATATGGAAAGTTCGCCATATATAAAATCAAGCAAAATTGAATTATCTTTGTCACTCTGGGAATTAATAAAAAAAAGAATGTAGCACTGCAATTAGTCCTGGCCATGGGCAGCCCGGCCCGGCCGGCCCAACCCGAAAAAGCCCGACCTTGTCCACGGGCCGGGCTCGGGCCTAGGTTTTGAGTCCAATGGCCGGGCTGGGCCAGGCCTAGGCCCGTCATTTTTGCCGTTTAAGGAAGAGGCCCGGCCCGTGGCCCGAGGCCCGACAGGCTTTTAGCATGATGGGCCGGGCTCGGGCTCGATTTTTAGGCCCGACAGCCAGGCCAGGCCAGGCTCGGGCCTGGGTTTTTTGCGTCGGGCTTTGGTTGGCCCGGCCCGGCCTGAGGGATGGCCAGGTATAACTGCAATAACACACTCCAAGGCAAATAACAATCAACGGACTTATTTCTCCTTTGTAGTTGTACTGTTCAACAAAGAAGTAGTACTTACAATATCCACAATAACTGATTCATCCAAGAAATGTGTTCCCAGAAATTTTATATACCAAATGGTACCCCGCGTGTTGCTACGAAAACTTTTAATAAATAATTCGATGTTTAACAACATGAGAAAGTTTATGAAACATAGTATGCGTAGATGTGAAGAATTTTGTTTGGAAGAAATATTGTTTCGAGTAAGTATTTAAAGGAAATTTAACGAAAAACCAAAAATAAGTGTGATTTTTGTTCTGTTAATTTCATCACCTTGACAATATATCAACGAGGCGATATGAGGTGAAATTAACGTTGCGTAGAGACAGTGGAGATATCTCAACCCTTGGCTAAACCTAAAACAACGATATCAACTATAGATTTGCATTCATTTTAAAAAACATAGCTTGGATAGAAAAATAAAACACGAGTTTACTCATAATTTGATTTTCTATTGAAAAAAAGAAGGCCACTTACCTAGGTTGCTCATTCACCACAATATACCTAGGTAGCTATAATTCCTTTTGTTTGTCTGGTCTCGTGCGCAACCATGCATGCCTGCCCATCAGGTGAAGTTTAGTTCCATCACAAAAAAGTCTGATTAGCTACTGGGTGTATGCAATTGGATAAAATTGGGATTAAAAGGTTGGATGAGAATATTGGGTTCTTTAAAAGGAAAAAATTGATGAGCTACCTCTTTATACGCAATCGAATCAAATTGAGATTAAAAGGATGCTTGGAACAATGGAGGTTCAAGGGAACGAAGGCATCTAATGCAATTCTCTGACCTCTAGGGAGCAAAGAGACATGTAAAAAAGGTGCAAGAGAATGGTAATGAAAAAAGACGATCGTTTGGTCTTTTAGAATCCGGAGAACGCATTAACAACACATGAAGTCTAACCAATGGTTTGACAAGGACTCGTGAAGTATGTCTGGTGTGAATCAGATGACGTCAAGACATATACAAATAGCAAAAAACACATAGGATGATGTGCCTACTTGAGAGTGCATGCGAAAAATCGTTACTGATTATTTGCGGTAGACTGCATGTGCATGAAGAATTAGTGGGAGCATACACATAAAGAGTTAATGAAAAAATATTTTTAAATGGTGGATAGTTTGCATGTCAAGATAAATAGGATAGTGAGGATGAATCTCTTAGGTATATAGGATTATTAACACAATGTTAAAGGAATTAAGTTTTTCAGTTCAACGAAAACATGACATTGCTTGTCCTCGGAGGC